AAGAAGGCAAACAATGGTGTGGAACGTAGTTTTGTGGTTTTATCTTTCAAGAATTTGATCTAACAAGTTAGGACAACAAGGTGCAGTTTATTCCATTCTATTTAAATTATATTTTTTTCACGTTGATGAATTATTATGCTCATAAAAGTTAAAGTTATAATATGATATGCTATGATATGAAAGATATGGTCATTCCAGTACAAATGATATGATACGAGATCTTACCGATTTCTAAAGATATGATGACGCCTGACGGTATGATAATTTTTGACACATGTTCCAAAAAATTTTATTCCGGATTACACCGTTATTTTATATCCTACTGAATATTCCAATATACTCACCATTTTCCCTACTCTTAACAGATTAGATAGGGTCGTTGGTCGGCAGGCGATGAGGTGCAGTCGTGGTGCCATGATTTTTGGGACTAAAGAGAAATAATTCGGTGTAATATGACAAGACCTACTTATGTTCAGCATTAATATTTGTTTTCTTGTTGTGGATATTTTATTTAGGACTTGAACACGTTTTATTTAATTATGCATTTTCGTATGTTTTATTTCACATCAGTGGAACCAACATATAATTTATCATCTATTATATACGATAAAATATTTAATTAATTAAAGAGAATTGCAATTTAATAACTTGTTTATTGACAATTTTCATGCAAAATACAGCCAAACGAATGGTATTCGGTATGGTAAAAACAAATTCTAGACCCAATAGTAGAAATAATTATCAATTTAGTGAACAATTTTCATGAAAAATGAAGTCAAACGAACACCAAACTTTCAACATTTTTCAAGTGGAAAATTATACTAATCAAACACAATTAATTACAATTCTCAGTAAAATAATTTTTAGACAATTCAATTCCCTGTAAAATATTTTTTTTCAACTCCTTTTCGATTTTTACAATCAAACGAATCCTTAAAGTTTCTATGCATGTCTAAGAAATGCAATATGCCAGAATGATATAAAGTTGGGTGAATTTCGAGGCCATGCGCCACTAAAAATAAATGATGTTTCACTATCATGATTTTGTAAAGATCATAGTGAAGAGAGAGAAAATAAATGATGTTTCACTATCATGATTTTGTAAAGATCATAGCGAAGAGAGAGAAAATAAATGATGTT